GAGCCATCTTTCCCAGCAGCCACCACCCATGGGCCATGGGCCAAGGATTCAGGGCCCCTGTCGCTCCCAGTTCAAGCGGCATTGGAAGCCTGGCGACTCCGTCCCTGGGTATGGGGCTTTAAGACCCCTCTCCCCTGTTCCCCAGAGACCAGTCACAGCACTTGGCCTCCTGCCCACTGGGATCCTCACCTTCGGGCCGCTCTCCCAGGGCTCTGGGCTGCCTGCAGCGTGGGCCAAGCCCTGCCTTTCCGCGGTCCTCAGCTCACGCATGAATGTGTGGCCGCCTCGGAAGGGGCGCCGATCCTCACAGGCAGTGGACAGTTCACCCTGGGCCTTTTCATTTGTTGGCTTTTCTGTGTAGAAGCCCCAGTCCTTGGCAGTGGCAGGGGTGGGGGTGGGGTAAGGACGACCGTGAGAGCGGTCATTTCCCATGATGCCTCATCTCAGGAACCGTACTGGGGCTGCCACTCCATTCACACGTGCGCCCCGCTTGCCCAGCCCCCAAGGGTCAGGCACGTGCTGCCCGGCTCCCTGCAGCCCCGAGGACACCCAGCCGCCCGCTTCCTGCCTCGCGCAGGCAGGTCCACACGAGTACAAGCTGCAGAGGACGTCCTGGCGGCTCCTCCAGCCATCTTCAAAGAAAAAGCCATTAAGTCACACTCGGTGGGTTGGTGAAGTTTACATCTGTTCATGAGTAACAGCATCGAAATGAAGAAGAACCGGTCATCGCGCCAGCCGGCCACAAGTGAGTGCTGGCAGTTCAGTGGTGGGGGTGACAAGCGGTGCCCCCACGGAAGGACTGCAGAGCCCCTGAGGCTGAGTGGCGGGACCCAGCGTGTCTGGGCGAGGGCTCTGGGCAGAGTGGACACCCATCGTGCCCCGCCTTCGGGTCCTTGGCTAATGCTGGGCAGAGACAACCATTCTCGTCTGCCTGCTGGGGCCTCCCAGAGTCCCTTGCTGAGAAGGAAGGCGATTGGCTGCCTGCGCCAACATCAGCAAGCACACCAGTGCTGAGAGTTTACAGCACGAGGCTGGATGGTGACCTTGGCGGTGGCAGCAGCCATTTGTCACGAATTGCTTCCTCAGCGTGGGCCTCGGGCTGGCGTTCACAGTCCTGCGGCATTTCGCCCATGCCCCACGAGGCACAGCCTCGCACCACCACCTGGCAGGCAGGACGCGGGGCTCAAAGCTCGTGGGCACCTGCCCAAGCGCTGAGGCCACACCCCAGATCGACACCCGGGGCTTCCACCTCAAGCCTGTACACCGTGGCCCTGCCCTGCTGCGGGGCATGGGGCATGCATCCATGCAAACCGGCAAGCCGCGAGTGCCACAGAGTCCCCAAGAGCAGTCACCTGCTGACGATGAAGGCCAT